GGGTTGGAATTGGGAGTGGGAGTCTTGCCTGTTTTTTGTCTTCCCATTGGTCAGGATCACTGAGACCAATTTTAGTGCCCCAACAGCTAAATAAATCCATTCAATGGATTGAACCTCAGTTGTCAGACTCCACCTTGTGAAGCACTCCGGAATGCAAGTTGTTGTTGTTGTTGAACCTGGGCCTCCTGGACTGTGAGGGTTGTTCTGTTCCACACTGGGCAATGGCTATATCAGCTGATCCACTGGATTCCTGCTGAGAATGTCACTGAGATTGCTTTCTACATCTACAACTGAGAACTTACTCACTTTGAGAACTGTCTTTGATCATCACTTAATAATAATAGTCCTTACATTTGATAAAGTGCTTTATCACGTTGAGATGTCTCAAAGCACTTCACAGAATATATTGTAAAGTGGATTGACTCTGTAGTTTATGGTGACGAATGGCAGCCAATTGCCCACAGCAGCGTCCCACAAACAAACAGTCTTGATGATATTCAGTCCACTATAAGTGGGAGCATGCACAACGTGAGTTAGCAATGAGAGGCTTGGGATTTTGAGGGCAGTAGATAATGTTACAAATAGATCTCCAACATACTTCAAAGTGAGTGGGAGTGCAGAGACCTGTCAAAATACTATAGAAGCAGCTGTTGTCTGTCACTGTCAGTGTGGAATGGAGCCACCCATTCAGTGCAGGAGGTCCAGGTTGAATTCACAGAATATATTAATTTATCTGCAGGAGAGCTACAGTTGGCCTCAGTGATCCTGGGCTAGGGAGGGCAAAATATCAGCCAAGACTGCTGTTCACAATAACAAGTAAGCCTTGCTGTCATCACAGTAAATATGAATAAGACTTCTGCAGAGCAAATCATGTGGTGAAGCCAAGATAAAGTCTCAGAAAATTCATGAAGCAATTCAGATTTTTTTATCCTCTGGTTTCAGAAGCTTCACAATAAATTTGCAATTTGTTTTTAAACTGTGCTGACCTACTTAATTGTAAATCATAGACTATTACAGCACAGAAGGAAGTCATTCGACCCATTGTGCCTGTGCCATCTCCTAAAATTGAATTAAGACGTAGCAATAGTGCATGTGCTGTTACTCTGAAGTTAGTGGATTGTGATGAGTTAACATTGAGTTCACAACAACAATAATTGCACTTATATAGTGTCCTTCAAATAGAGTAACATATCAGAGCCAGTGCTGGATATTGAGTAGGCACGGTCAAAGATGTAGGTTTGGAGACATCCTTAGTTGATCTCAGCGATGATGGGGATTGAGGTGTTGCAATAGACCATAGTGTCCTTGGGTTAGGAAGAGGGAAATTGATCTGAGTTCCCACTCTGAGATTCAGTATACTCATTTCCAGGGAAGCTGTGGTCCTGCACGTGTGTGGATGTTGGGTGAAAATGGGCATGAGTGTAATGCTTCTCACTCACTGTCAAGGCTCAGAGGTGAATAATGGCCAGTTACTTCACAGAGGGCATCTGGTGAGCTGTACCCCAGTAAAAGGAAGGATAAATTAATTGCCTTTGCAGAGGATGGAGCGGGATAGAAATTAAAATTAAAACACCTCAAAGCATTTTACATTACTGTAAAGTGTAGAGATGGTGTATTTGTAGGCAAACATGGCAGGCAATTTGTGTTGGAGTGTCAACCTGCACTTTGAGTTATTATAATAATAATCCTTGCAGTTGATATAACGCCTTATCGTGTCTTCAAGACATCTCAAAGCGCTTCACAGAATATATTGTAAAGTGAATTGACTATCAAAACATTCAAAGTCTCTAGATGGGGTTTGAAGCTACAACCTTCTGATTTAGAGGCGAAAGTGCTATCAGCTGAGAAACTATCTTCTCTTTTCAAATAGTGTCATTGGATTTTTAACATCCACCTGGTAGCTTAGTTTAAACTGTGAGTAAATTAGACCTCTACATTGAGTGGGGAATGGGGAGAGTTAAGTGATGATCAAAGACTTAAAGACTATTAGGCAAAAACTCTACTTACTGCGCCAAATTCGCCACTTTTATATGGTGCAAAATGGTGGAGATCATTATTGTCAGTTAATAATATTGATTGATAATCAGTATTATTGATTGTAGTGCCTCTCATGTCAGAAATAAATGTTGGATATAGTGCCTTTCATGTCAGGTATAAACACTTCACAGGATATACTGTAAAGTTTCTTGCGTAATTTGTGGTCGAACAATTGAAGCGAAGATCCCAAAAAAAGGAAGATAAAAAAATTCGTTATTATTTTTCCATTCCTGGAGCTTTTTTGAAATATTTGGATGATGGGCCTTTAAAGCACCAATTGAGTCTTTTTAAGACATTGCTAAAAGGTGAGGAGAATGTCTGGTGCAAAAAGAAGCATCTATACAGTATTAGGCCTGTTTCTAGGTACAGTAGTTTGCAGAAGAAATACACTTGGGTGCAATTATGATTGTGGTTTGGAAGGATGCTTTATGTTTCATAAGAGCATTTCATTTGCTGCCATGGTTATCTTCCCTGTACATTATGTTCAAATAGTGTCCAATGAAGCCTTTGTACAGGAAGCTAGCCAGAATTTTGATGCCCTTCCAGTCTACTGCTGGTCCATGCTGCACCTGCAATATACATGGACCCACATTAAACAAGTCCATTTATAATGCTATTCTTCTTTGTTTGAATTAACTTCAGGACTCTTCAATCTTGATAGAAGACAACTCAAGAGACCTTATAGAGGGGTAAAAATACTAAATGGGAATGAAAAAGTAAACCAGATCAATACTTTAGGATGCAACAAGACAGTAGAATAAGAGGACATAGATTTAGAGTTGTAAAAGGCAATTGCAGGAAAGACATCAGGAAGTTTTTTCTTTACTCAGAGGGTAATCAATGTCTGGAACTAGTTTGCTAGGAAAGATGGTTGAGGCCAGGACACTGGACTCATTTAAAAAGTAGCTTGATGTTGCATTGGGGGCACGGTAGAGGTTGTGTTCTGGAAGAATGAGATTGGATGGGCTGAAGGGCCTTTTCCATCCAGTCCAGTTTTATGATCTTATGAACTTTGTGACTTGCTTCCCATTGAGTCATCATCTGCACTGAAATTACGATTCCCCAAAAATTTTCCATTTGCAGTACTGATAAAACAGAAATGCTGAGACAGAAATATTCAAGCACATAAAACCTATTTTTTTTTAAAAAATCCAGAATAATTGTGGTTAGGACGCAAATCCATCAAAAAGAAAAAACATGTCAGTCCCAAGCAAAATATTTTTTGCTTCAACTTTGGTTTTAAAAATGTAGGCACTTTTTTTGTTTATCAAAGTGATAGAATGCCAATGTCAGTATTTCCTTTTTTAGCTTTTAATAGGAACAAGTACAAACCTCTCTGAGTCTGAGCAGGAAGAAACAGCTCTGCTTTTGGTCTGAAATTCAATTGCCTTATAGCCCATGGGACCATTTTATTGTTAAAAGTTAAGACCCCACAGAGTTTTCGAAAATTCTTAAATTCATTCAATCAAAACCAGAGCCAATTCTGCAAAAATCTATTTTAATACAAAAATGGGCTAAGATGAGGTGGAGTTTCAAGCCTTTTTCCTTACTTGTGACCCTACTAGTCAAAAAAGCACCTGAATTGAGGTAGTTCAGAGAGACGCGTAATTTATCCAAAGGTGAAATTCATGTGCACTCAAAAATTTTGGCATCCTGAAAACTTATCATTGGCAATGTTATTTTCCAGGAAAGAAGGATCTCTCATATATGTCCTTTGAAACAAATCTCTAAAAATGAAGACAAAATTCTCTGCTAGACACTCTGTAGCTAAGATTCTTATTCTGAATACAGTTGAACCCTTTATGCTCTTATGTAGTGCACCTGAGTCTTTATATAATAATAATCCTTGCATTTGATATAGCGCCTTATCACATTGTTGAGACGTCTCAAAGCGCTTCGCAGATATACTGTAAAGTGAATCGACTGTATGGGTGAAATGGGGCCGTTAATTGTGCAACGGATGTGTATCATGGACGTACAGTATACGAGAAGTGCTGCACACTTCGAGCCTCTGTTACAGTGCGTGGCTTCATGCAGAAGGCCTCCCAGGTACTGATTATCAAGACCCAAAAAGCGAAACAAAGTCATCTAGATAAACAGGAGTATGGTATAAACTTGACATCTGACTGCTGACTGTTGTAAAAGCTAACGGCTTCCAGGGAATGAATAAGCACTGTTTACTATCCACAGACTTGCTCCTTATGGATGTTTAGTCTTTGAGTCAAGTTGCCATCAGGATAATGATAACAGCAGCAAAAAATGTTGTTGATCTTTATATCACTTACATAGGGTATAAAGTATCTTTGAGTTTTTGAGTTCATTCTTCTTTGTGCCTTTCAATGCATCCTTTCAGCCTTGGCCCAAGAGACTGATCCTGATATTGGATTTATCAGGATTCACACTGTATGTTTCAGCTTCACCCCTGACCACCTCCTGCTTTGTTCATGTGCAGCATGGAGGAAGTGATGTTGCCAGTGACCTGATAAAGAGGAAGTCTGTGTTTATTTTAGCATGGGAATTGGGCAGCATGCAGGCAGCATCGACATTGATCAATATAAAAATTAGCACATCACATGTCACAATTTACCCCGATCACTTTTCCTGGGTTTTGGAGCCAACAGGTCAACTGTGACCACTGCCTCCTGTGGATCATGGCGTTTGACACCTTTGTGGCAGGATACTGGGTTTTTCTTAATATTGAGCTGATATCCTTGCAACATGAAAGACGCTATACTAAACTGCAATAACTAGGCAGAGTCTAATTTGGCTTCACAGACACTATCATTGCTGTGGGTGCATATCTGGACATGTTCAATGCAATACATTTCCAATAAATTAATTTAAATTAAATTGTTTTAATTTCATTTATTTTAAATTAAATTTATAAATGCAATCTTGTTGTTGTTTGTTTGTACCAATTTACCCAATCTCTGTTCAGTACTCTTTGATGTTTTTTCTTTCAGGGGATTACATCTACATTGAAGGGTCCCCTAACGGCAGGGTAGAGACGGCTTTCCTTACCAGTCCTGACCTTCCGCCTCTGGGAGAAAGCTGCGTGAGGCTCGTGTACCAGATGACTGGTTCAGATCCAGGAAGACTGAATATGTACGTTCGACCCGAAGGAGACAGTTTTGATTTTTTGCTGTGGTCTTCTATTGACCCATCTGACAGCTGGATAATCGCTAGCATAGACTTTAGGAACATAGCAGCCAAATCCAAGGTACTTATTTTACACAAACTACTTCTTATTTTGAAAGTCATGAAAAACCACTTATATAAACAATTCCCCTAGAATTGAGTTTATATTAATAATAATAATCCTTGCATTTGATATAGCGCCTCATCACTTTGATGAGCCATATCAAAGCACTTCACAGAATATACTGTAAAGTGAATTGACTCTATATTTTGTGGGCAAAACCTGGAGTTTCCAGATAAGGAACATCTGGCATGGAATAGGTAAGCAACCAGCAGATACTTAATATCAAGGCTCACGTAAGAAGAATGCTGGTTTGGGTTAGATATCAGTGAAGAAAAAGCCCCTGTGAAACTGCACCCCTTGCTGGGAGAGGAAGAAGGGAGAATATTGATGGGTATTAAGAAAGGAACAATTTATACATTGATTAACATCTTCTGGTAGAGCTGAATAAATATCTGGTTAAGAAAGACATTGAGAGTTGTAAGGACAAGGATAGATAAGGGTAATCAAATACGCCATGGAATACTTTTTCCTATTGATTTACTGTATAGAGGGAGAAATTCCATTTGGGTCTAAATTTATTCTATAAATGTGGCATTTTAGAGTGTCCAGAATTTGAGAATTTGCCAATTTCTTAACACTCTTAAAAATGTAACATTGAGTCTGAGAACACTGATTCAGGCACAGTCGGAGACCATTTCACACATTTGTCCTGTACATTGCAGTAGATCGGATGCACCGGGATATTCCTTATGATCCAGAACCCATATGGACTATTACAATATACCACTTGGTACAAAGGTTCTCCTATTGTGTAATATTTGGGTTGATCTCACATGGTTGTCATATGGTTTGAAATTCTTGAATATTTGTATCTGTCTTTGTTTGTAGACAGGCTGAGTGGCTGCCTGAGGAACAAACACAGCAGCATGACACCAGGTTTCCAAAATTATTCACTTTGGGAAAAGCCTGTGTTAATGGACTGTTGTGTGAAATTTGTATTGTTTTATAACACATTCCTTATGAGAATTGTCATTATTAAATGCCACAAATGTCTTCCCACGAATGAGGGAATTTAAATCTGTTTGTTAAGTTTGGTGGTTTGTGGTTTAAAAAACACCAAACTTAAACAAATTTAAATGTTATATTTTTTAAAAACGTAGCAATTTTGGACATTAACAAATTTGGAGCCAATATTTTTGTCAATGTACGATGCCCATTTGTCAAGGGCACGAGTCAATTAATATAAAGTATAAAATCATGTACCAAAGACATAAATGACCTCTATATCACTGTTTCCCTCTATTTCCACTGTAAGTATGATGTGAATATCTAACAGATGTTGCAGCTCAACTGGAATTTGAAAATAATGCTGAGTTTACACTACATGTTAGCAATGATAATAGCCTCAAGTTTTTGCGGGAACTTTCCATAAAAATAAGGACTCAGTATATCAGATTTAATACAACAGGAATTGCAATAGGAGGTGTTGTTTTAGGTGCAGTTTGAGTCTCACTAGCTATATGTTTATATTATCAATATAAATACAATAGGTTCAGATTCCTCTATCCTGTGATCCATTTAAGAGAAGGGAGTTTCTCCAGGTGTCCTGGGCAACAATCCTGCAAATTAAATTGGTCATTTGTTTCATGGGTGTTCATGGGGAGCGGCGGCAGGACAGCGCGGGGAGGAGCCTGGGCCTACTGACCCAGGTACTTAAACTCGACGCCGGAGCGAGTTCAGCCCCGGGGGGGGGGGAGGAAGGGGTGGGGGCGGAGCGGGGGAACTGCGACGTCATAGACTAGTTTTCAGGTGCGTGCGCGCGCAAAAAAAAAACAAAAAAAAAACAAACAAAAAAAACCCTCTGCGCCCCCCCCCCAGGGCTCACATCAGAGCCCACTATGGTCCTGTTGGGTTCGCTGCCCCAATCTACGGGATAATGCCATCCACCTGACCGCTCGCTCCCGGTCCCCGCGTGCGCACTATGGCTGCCGCTTTGACCCGAGCCCCCTCACCCCCTCCCTCCCGCCCCCCTCCTCTCTCCCCCAAACCCTCCCCCCTCTGCATCTCTCCCGCTCTCTCCTCCTCTCTCTCCGTCCCTCTCGTCTTCTATCCCCACTTGACCCTCCCACAACCTCCCTCTGTTCCAGCCTGGGAATCCTCCGCCGGGCTCACCGTGGCACTCGGCGTTGGCTGTCCAGCAGCAGCCACACCGACTGCCCCATTCCCCACCACACTCGCCAGCCACCCCGGACACAGACCCGGGGAGTCAACCTCTCCTCCCTCATCCCCATTCCCCCCACCCCTGCCTCACAACCTGGACCCCCCTCCCCTCCCACACACCCTTCTGTCAACCGCTCCCTCCACATCGGACTGCAAAATGTCCGCTCCCTCTGCAACAAGGCCCTGGTCATCAACGATCTCATCCTTGATGAGAACGTTGATATCATGGCCTTAACAGAAACCTGGCTCACCCCAGGCGACACCTTCCCCCTCACGGAGGCCACGCCACCCGGCTACACCTCCCACCACATCCCCCGCCCCAACCGCCGTGGCGGTGGTGTTGCCCTTATCTCAAGGACACCACTTGCCCTATCCCCCTACTCCACTGGCTCTTTCCCCTCCTTTGAGCACCTCACCCTCTCCCACCCCTCATTCCTCTCCCTTAAAATCCTCCTCCTCTACCGGCCCCCTAAAACCTCTCCCACCTTCATCTCTGACATTTCAACACTCCTCACATCTCTTTGCCTCTGCTCTGATCGCCTCATCATCCTGGGCGACTTTAACCTACACTTCACACCCTCCTGCTCCATCTCCACAGACTTCTCTTCCCTGCTCTCCTCACTCAACCTCTCCTTACACATAAACTCCCCCACTCACAGTCACGGCCACCCACTCGATTTGGTGATCACCCGGGGCCTCAGTGTCTCGGATGTCACTATTACCGACAAGGCCATCTCTGACCACTACTTCATCTCCTTCACCACCTCCACCCCCCTCCCCACCTCCACCAGACCCACCACCATCTTCTACCGCCCTTGGAAGAAGTTACCCCCACAATCCCTAACCGATGCCTTGGAGTCCTCTGAACTCCTCTCCCTCTGGCCTTCAACCCTCACCGACCCCTCTTCTCCTCTCTCCCTCCTCCACAATACCCTCTCCTCCACACTCGATACTCTTGCCCCCATCACTTCCCGCACTGTCTCCTACTCCCGCTCCTCCCCCTGGTACACCACCCACCTCCGCTCACTGAAAAGCCAGGTGCGGGCTGCTGAACGCACCTTTGTCAAATCTGGCCTAACGGTCCACCGACAAATCTGGCTGGACCTCCTCAAAATTTACCGCTCCACTCTAGCCTCGGCCAAGTCGTCCTTCTACTCCAGGATAATCCTGGAGGCGAAGAACAACCCCAGGCTACTGTTTTCCACCACAACCCGACTCCTCCGTCCCCCCCGCCACCCCGCGCAGGTCATCTCCTCCAACCTTCACTGCGAGGAGATGCTGGATTTCCTTGAATCCAAGATCAAGGGAATCCGCTCCGCGGTCACTTCCCCTCCAACTTCCACCCACCACCCACCCCTTCCCTCCCACACTCCGACTCCTACCCATCCTCCCCTACACACCTTCGTACCCGTTTCCCCACCCTCTGTCACTGAACTCATCCTATCCCTAAAACCAACCACCTGCTCCCTTGACCCCATCCCCACTCCACTCCTTATCTCCCAGCTCCACTTTCTTGCCCCACATATCACTGACATCATCAACCTGTCCCTCTCCTCTGGCTCTGTCCCCATTCCATTAAAAACTGCCATCATCACGCCCACCCTGAAAAAACCCTCCCTTGATGCGTCGCAGCTATCAAGCTACCGGCCCATCTCCAACCTCCCCTTTCTCTCCAAGGTCTTGGAAAGAGTTGTCGCCTCCCAACTGCGCTCTTTCCTTTCCACCCATTCTCTTTTCGAACCCCTTCAGTCAGGTTTCCGTGCTGCCCATAGCACAGAAACTGCCCTGGTCAAGGTCACCAATGATATCCTGACCATCTGTGACCAGGGCTCCCTCTGTCTCCTCGTCCTCCTCGACCTATCGGCAGCATTCGATACGGTCGACCACGCTATCCTACTCCACCGCTTGTCCTCCCACCTCAACCTTCAAGGCACTGTCCTTGAATGGTTTAGGTCGTACCTTTCTCACCGTCTTCACTTTGTCTCGACGAATGGCTTCTCCTCCACCCCCCGTACTGTCTCATGTGGTGTCCCTCAGGGCTCTGTCCTCGGTCCCCTCCTCTTCACCCTCTATATGCTCCCCCTTGGTGACATCATCCGCAGACATGGGTTAACTTCCACATGTATGCGGATGACACCCAACTCTACCTTTCCTCCTCTACTCTCAACTCCACGACCACCGATGTCCTGACAGCTGCCTGTCCGACATCGAGTCCTGGACGAGAGACAACTTTCTTCAGCTCAACGTGCGAAAAACCGAGGCCCTCCTGATTGGCTCACGTCAGCGCCTCCGCACCTCAGGCGCTGACACCATCAGCATCCAAGGCTGCACTCTCCACCTCTCAAAGCCAGTCAGGAACCTCGGCGTTTTGTTCGACCCTGAGCTGTCCTTTCTCCCTCACATCCGCACCACAACTGGCACCGCCTTCCATCACCTCCGGAACATCGCCAGACTACGGCATTACCTCACCCCTCACGCTGCTGAAACCCTGGTTCACGCCTTTGTCACCTCAAGGCTGGACTATGGGAACTCTCTCCTCGCCGGCCTTCCCGCCACCTCCCTCCACAAGCTGCAGGTCATTCAGAACTCTGCAGCTCGTGTACTGTCCCGCACCAGGCTTCGCGACCACATCACTCCCACCCTCGCTCGCCTCCACTGGCTCCCCATCCCCCAGAGGATTGATTTCAAGATCCTCATCCTCACCTACAAGGCCATTCACGGCCTTGCTCCCTCCTACCTCTCCAACCTACTATCCCCCTACCTACCTGCCCGTACCCTCCGTTCCTCTGGCTCCGGTCTGCTCCACGTCCCCCGCCCCAACCGCCCTACCATCGGTGGTCGGGCCTTCAGCCTCTCAGCCCCAGGCTCTGGAACTCCATCCCCCAGTGCCTTCGCCTTGCTTCCTCCCTTTCCTCCTTCAAGGCCGGTCTCAAAACCTTTCTCTTTGACCGAGCCTTCAGCTCCCCTCTCGACTCTCTTCCCCTCCTCGCTCCCTCCCTTCCCTCCCCTCACCCTGACCATTTCCCCCCTCCTTGCTCCCTCCCTTCCCTCCCCTCACCCTGACCATTTCTCCCCTGCTCGGGTCATGACCCAACTGTGCAGCGCCTTGGGACGTCCTCCTGACGTGAAAGGCGCTTTATAAATGGAATCTTGTTGTTGTTGTTGTTGTTGTTTTGCTGTGCGCAATTGGCTGCCGCGTTCGCCCACAAATATACAGTCAACTCACTTTAAAGTTTATTCTGTGAAGCGCTTTGGGACGTCCTCCCGACGTGAAAAGCGCTATATCAAATGCAAGGATTATTATTATTATTATTATCATGCAAATGCAAGGATTATTATTAGAAACTCTTGAAAAGCCCTGTCAGACTATCAAAAATTTTAATGCTACTGAGTTAATAGCACTGTGCATAACTCTGAAAATGAAATTCTATGTAGTGATAGCCTGTAAAACAAATTTGCCTTAAAGTCTAAGATAAACTTAAGTATAGATTTGTTGGAACATCTGAAAAATCATGGAAAATCTGGACAGAAATAAAATCATAAATGATAGCCAATATGGGTTCATGAAGGGAAGGTCTTGCTAATCTAATTTACTGGTTTTCTTTGACGGTGTCACAAGGGAGCTTGATAAGGTTAAGGCTGTGGATGTTGTATATCTGGATTTCAGTAAAGCCCTTGATACAGTTTCTCTTGAGAGGCTAGTAATGAAAGTAAATAAAGCGGGAATCAGTGGAGGTATATTGCAATGGATACGCAATTGATTAACCGGAAGAAACCAGAGGGTGGTGGTACAGGAGAGTTCCACAAGGGTCTGTTTCAGGAACTCTTTTGTTTAATATTTTTATAAATGATCTGGAACTAGGAGTCGCAAGCACAGTGACTAAGTTTACAGATGACACCAAGCTAATGAAAGTGGTAGATTGTGAAGCTGAACAAGGAGGATTTGAACATACTTGGGAATTGGGCAGATCGGTGGCAAATAAAATTCAATGTGGAGAAATGTAAAGTGGGGACAAAAAAATCCTGGAGGGACTATTATTTGAACGGAAGGAAAATAATATGTATGGAAAATGAAATAAACCTGGGGGTCCTGATTGACAATAAATTGAAGCTCTCCCAACAATGCTCTGTGTCAGTGAGTAAAACAAACCAGAGGTTGGGATGTATCAAAAGATCAATAGCAAGCCGAAATAGTGGGGTAATTCTGCCACTGTATGAGGCGCTACATCAAATGCAAGGATTATCATAATTAATGACTCTTTGGTTATTTCAGATCCACAATTGTCACTTAATAACTCAGAATCTGTTGCAAGTGAAGGTTCCCACAATTGGTCTACCAAACCGAAACTCTCCCCCTGACAATCCAAGCCTCTCCTACTGCCGGTCCCATCTGATTGCCTCCCCCCCACCCCATCCCCCCCCATTCTCCCCCATTGGCTCCCGCTACTGGCCTCCTCTGATAACCTCCCACTGCAAAACCCCACCAAGCTCTTATTTCCAGGTTTCTAAATTAATATTTTTATATTTTTCTTTATTTATAGCTAGTCCTGGAAGGTATAATTAATCCGGATGCAGAGGCTAGCATTGCAGTCAGCGTGATCAGTATTACTCCTGGATTTTGCATTGGTGAGTTGGTTTCATTCGGGTGGTCACTGACCACTGTTACACGTGTGCAGAGTTCACAGTTCGAGCCTAGTATAGTGGTTGCACAGGAGATTCATAAGGAATCAGTAAACGGGTAATTTCTCTGCCCTCATGGACATTTTCTGTCACTCAGCTCAAATAATAAATCAAAGCTGGCTTCACCTTTCAGATGTGAGATGTTTCTACACTTCCAATGTGCTTCCAACTACCAGCCCTGCTCCCTTTTGTTTTTCTTCTTCCTCCTCCAATTTACAAACTTTTCAAATTGATGTAAAAAAGTTATTTTTGTCTTGTTCCAAAATTTCCTCTTAAACAGCACTGGAATGCGGAGAAATTTCGGATGATAGGAACAGGAGCAGGCCATTCAGCCCATCAATCTCACTTTGAAATTTTATTGGTTCTTGGCAGATCTGGCATGATGTAAATTGTGCATGAGAGAAGAGAAATTATCTTTTTACTTACTCTTTACTCCCCTGAATCTATCAGCCCATTTTATTTCCCTTTTCTGCATTTGCCAAAAAAAATACACATTGAGTACATTTTACAGTAAATTCTGTGAAGCACTTTTCAATGCTGTCATGATGTGAAAAGTGCCATATCAAATGCAAGGACTATTATTGTTTTCCTTCATATCCTTATTTCCCAACTGTCTATCTCTTTCTTATCATCCCAAGGAACTTGTATATCTACTGCCTCATGTGGTAGTATATTGCACATCTTACAAACCTCTGGGATTCTCCTTTTCTATTCACTTCAGCGAAGCCTCTGCATACATACAATGTTTACTGTTAAAGCAATATGCTGCATTTATTACAATTGTGTGTGTAAAAATTATAAACTTAGCGCAGTGGTGGCCAATCTTTTTGGTTGTCTAACAAAATAACCATATAAATAACAAAATGGGATAGATTTATGCCATAAATCAAGAAATATTTAATGAAGAAACACTTATTTTGTTGGCCAATCAAATAAGTTGGCCACCACTGATTATTTTTCTAATTTGCTCCCGACTGGCATATCTCTGCCCTTTCTGTTCCTGATCTGGTCTCTTCTTGGTGAGGGGTGTGATTCCACAAGCTCAGGTTGTCCTCCTGTATCCTATCCTTATGGCCTGTGTTTTGTTTGTAGCGTTCATTTATTTATGAATAACGTTTACAAGTGTCTGCTTTGATGACTCTGTGGAGAGATGCATCATACGGCAACAGTAACAACTTTTATTTATGTTACAGGGGTAGCATTATATCCTAAATTGCATTGATTAGAAAGCTCCAAGGTTCAAGCCCTTTTCTGTGTGTATGTTTGTGTTGTGTTGATTTTTGACCTCAACATCCAGGGCTCAGCGTTAAATAAATCAGGATAAATCCAGCAGAACATTCCTGTTCACTGTTCCAATGTGCTGTGTGTGGGTGTCGGGTGATGACAAACTTGGGCTCAGCTTTGATGTTCTTCCTTCAATGATTAAATAGAACCACCAGTACTTCCTCTCCAGCCTCAGATGTAAAGAATATTTTCTAGAAAATACCAGTGTGCAGTGTGTGCTGTCCATGTATCATAAAATCACACCATGCTCAGTTGGTTCACATGTGCACACAAGCATGGGTAAAAAGAAACACCGTGTAGCCTCAACAGTGCCTCCTGATGGCCAAGTAAGATAATGCATTGAGTGGTGTGGTCCTGAGCTGTACAGTCCAAGGGTAGACATTCTGGCTGGGTTTAGACTTACACTATTTTATTAGCGTGAAGAATTTGGCAAATTCTTATCTTCAGACATAAATCTGAACCTGGTTCTCTGACCTGCCTTCTGCCTTACAGAAAACCAGCTTCAAAACAGAGACAGAATTTAGGAATTCTTAGCATTTCAAAATCAGAAATACTAAGAAAATAGAGTAGTTTTTTTCTGAAATCTTCAATCTTCACAGAGAAAAAAAGCGTGGCCATCCCACCCCTCCCCATTAACAATGATCACACACACGTGCACACACATATGACACACACTCAAACCACACAAGTGCACATGTGTGAATATTTGGAGAGATAAGGATTTGATGGAACTTAATGTTGGACCAGTTTCCCTTTGTCACAATACAAACAAGCAGCTAAAATGGAGGAAAACCACCTCCTCTGTTCCTAGCTTTAACTTATTTTGCTGTGTTAAAAAGGGCTAAACAGTTTACATTAATGTCTATGGAACATATCAACTCTCAGGAGTACCAGAAATACCATACACACACAAAAAATGCATGCTTCTATCTGCATATTCCTGAGGTCAAAGGATGCGATATTAAACCAAGGTCCCATCTGCTGTTGAAGTGGAAGTTAAAGATTTCATGATACGATTTGAAAGAAAAGGGAGATTCTACTGGTATCCTTCCCAATAATTCCCGGGATGGCTGTTTGTAGGAAATTGCTTAATGCAAATTGGCAGCTGTGTTTGGCTTTGCGATGTTTTGGTGTGATAAGGCGCTATACCAAATGCAACAATTATTTAGAAAATGTAGGATTATTACATTTACATTTATAGTACAGTTTGTAAACATGTGGGGAAGAAAAAGGTGTTCATGAAAATGGTGCGCTTTAATAAAAAGTAATAGCAAAATGTTTCAGAAATCTAAACCTTTTAGATCTGTTTTAGACGATGGTTTGATATCCAAAATGTAAAAGTGAGCTCTACTATATTACTAACTCTTGCATTTACAGTGTGCACTTTTGAAGACAAACATTTTTGTGGCTACAACAACAGATGGAATCCAAATTTAAACTGGCTGGTGGGTGGAGGTACAGTCCGCGATTCACCGAGAAACCTGCCTGCTGATCACACACTGGACGATGAACTGGGTATGTCTCCTAGCCATATGTTTTACACATGCTGAAGCTCCACTTCATTGAGCAATTGCTGTGGAGTTGTTTCAATAATGTGCCGTCAGAGAGCCCAGGTTATACAGTTGACATTTATATAGCGCCTTTCACATCGGGAAGATGACTTAAGGCATTTAACAGTGCTGGCCGAGCAACGAAGCTGGGGGTGGGAGATGAGTGGGGGGTGTTGGGAGTGGAAAGATGAGTGAAAACGTGGTCAAAGAGGTAAGTTTTTAGATTTGCCGTCAATGAGGGCAGTGACGGAGGTATCCTAGATGAAGTTGCAGTAAGACTAAAGGCTCCACAAGGAGTGTTCACATCTTGGATGGAAGGCTCGTACAAGGCTACAAAGTAATGCTAAAAACCACGAAAAGCCAATACGTTTATGGGCCTTTGTAAATATTTACTGGAAACATCAGCCTGTGCAGTCTACCAGTGATTTATGAATCAAAGAATCTTGTGAAATCCTGTGATATTAAAATAAACTTCAGAAGGCCAATTGTACACAAATATACAATGGGACAAAAGTAATACAGTAATAAGAGAAATCTTACATTTATTATGATTAACGCCAGAAATATTGGGACTCACTCAAAGGCAATAAAAAGATTCATTTCCCTAGTTATTACATTACAATAGAGGACTGATTCTGAGAAATTTGAACAAAGCGGCACTAATATAAAAATTACAGTATTGGAGTCTAAATGGTAGCTATTCCTAAGAGTGTTTCTTAATAAAGATTCTGAGTTGCAAATAGGGATTTATTCCAGTTACCAAAAAAAATCACGCGCAGGCAGATTCAGTTGTCTGGCTCAGTGGTCTCACTTCTAAGTCAGAAGATTTCAGACTTTGAACTCAGATAGTCTAGAGGCTGACACTCCAATACAGTGCTGGACGTGTTCTGCATTGTTGGAGCTGTCATCCTTTGGCTAAGATGTTGAACCGAGGTCCGATCTGCCTGTTCAGATTCATGACACTATTCTAAAAGAGAAAGGAGTTTTTCCCGGTGATCTGACCAACAACAATAACAACAATAAAATTAGATTTGTGTAGCATCTTTCAGGGCCATTGTTGTGCCAGAAAAGAAGCCAAACTGTTCACTGCACTTTACACTAAATCCTGTGAAATGCTTTGAGACGCCCTCATAACATTAAAAAGCTCCATATGAATTGTAAGGATTATTACTTACTCCGAGAGGATTGTGTCAGAGTGGAAATCCTGTAGGTCAGATTGACCGGTTACCAGGATGAAATCCCCATTTGTAACTCAGATCCCTGAGGAAGAAATGTTGGAAATTTCTGTGGTTTAGATGCTATTTGCTTACAAAGTAGTATTCAGCTGCCATCAGATCCCATAATAGTAAAGCTGGTGGTGGGGGTGGGGGGCCACGGGAGCGGGGGGGTGGTGCAGGGTGGGTGGGGGGGGGGGGGGGCGCGGGAGTGACAGGACCTCTTTATGCCCTCTGAAAGCCTCAAGATACAGAGCAAGATTTCAATGATCCAATTTAGCACAATAATCTGCCACATCCTGGTGTGTTGCAAAATAATTGTGAACTTGTAGCACTTGTTAAGTAAACGTACCTGAGTGGTTACCGAATTACTCTGCGATACAATGGATTTGTGTTGGTGCAAGGCTATTATTTCCTAGGAATGTCTACGCAGCCTGTGGCTCCCTATTTTTGTGAGGTTGTGTGTTCCTCCACTCTTACCTTTGCTGTTCTTGTGTCGTGAAATGCACCGGGAGAACACTGGTGCTGTCACACTATGAAAATAAGGGCAACGAGCCTTTTCGAGATTCTGCTACCATTATTTGGCAGCCAAGCTTACAAAACAATTTTAATGAAGCTTCCTGCATGGCCTTGATGTCATCCTAATATTTACATAATTGAATTAACTTTTTAATTCAGCTCTGTGTCTGACATGCAAAAATCCATGACTATGCTTATGAGTATCCAAACTAGACTGAGAATTTCACAAGTGCATGCAAATGTTCCTCTGTCTGGAATGGAATAGGCGCTCTCATTCGACCAGGACGCACCCCTGCTAACTTCATCCCAGAAAATACAGTGTTAGGTGCAGGCTGGCAAGAGCCAAGTGCATGGTGGAATGTCGCTGTCTAGTCCCCTCCTTCTCTGTGTTTTTTCACTATTGAGTTACTGTGTGCAGAGCTAGTGAGAAACCGTTCTGGCCTTGGGAGACTCACAGCCAGGGAAATTGGCCATTTTATTTCCTGAGGAAGAAATAGGCCTGGACACAAAATGTGAAAGGGGCCATGATCCTGGTGGTTATACATCAGGATTGATGCAGAGGTGCTGGAACTAGAGATGGTGTGTGTGGATTGTTTTTTATTTTACCAGTGATGAACATCGCAGAAAACACACCAACGGTCTTTATACTTCATGTACTAATAATGCATTATAATTTCTGAACCAAGATATCCCTTAAGAGCACACAAGGAATTACCGGGATGTACTAGGAGCAGTTTAACACTGACGTAGAGCTCATGGATTTACTCATGGCCTGCAGTTTTATGGTTTGCCTCCAGACACATAGCCAGATAACTCTGTAAAGAGCTTCGAGACTTGTTGATGTTAAAGCCATTTTATCAAAAATATGAGAATGATTGTAAAGCTGCGATTACATTCACTGTCTGTGAGCTAAGAGGCAGAGCTTAACATCAGGACCTTGACATTGAGAACACTGTCCTGACAGAGTGGAGCTGCTACCAGCATATCCGGGTATTTGGTATCAGACCCTTTATCTGGATATTTAATATTAGACATTTAACATGGGGTCTGTTCAACCTCATTAGAATAATTGAGAATTGTTTAACATGCTTCTTGCTTCTCTGTGATTTAGAAAAACAATTTCGGAAGATGGCATTGCCTTGATCTCCAAACCACATGGTGTTTGGCACAGCTTTATCTCAAGCTATTCTTTTGCAGGTCACTATATGTACGTGGACTCAGTTTACATCACAAATTTACAGGAAGTGGCTCAATTGGTGTCACCGTTGACAACCTCGGTTCTGTCTGGGTGTTTGTCCTTCTATTACCAACTGGAACAGAAGAGCTCCAACTCATTCGTGGTGTACACAAAAGACAGGCGCGGACACTATGAAGAGATCTGGAGAGCGACTCAGGCTGTGGACAGCTGGAGCTTAGTGGAGGTCGACATTGAAGCCTCGCACTCTTTTCAGGTAAGGAAAGATTTAAGCCCAGTAAGAAATTGTTGACATGAGCTGTGAGTGTGAAACTTGTTGGTGATAAAATCCCATTCCTTTCCATTCCTGTCCCACCTAATTCAGACAAATAGCATTTCAGATCAAATAACTTCACCACCCCCTTAAAATTAAACCAGGGGCTGAGGGGAAGGGAACAACCCTTTCCAGTACATGTTTTCTTTGTTTTACAACCACGTGTGGTTTTAAACTTATCAGTTCATGAAGAAATTCTAGAAATACTTAGCTAACAAAATATGACTTTTTCATCTTCTGGAGTGAGAGTTGGTACATGAGTTAAGCCATCTGGTGTCTTGTATTGAGCTACTGACTGGTGATACTATGTCTCCCTTCTGGCTGTAAACATAAACTTGACCTCCATGTGGTATAGACTTCCTGTCTATACTTACTTGTTTTGTTAAGTGTTTAGTATGAAATATCTGGATATGCACCTCTGACAGTGCAATGCTCTCTCCAGCTTTGGGGCTTCAGCCTAGAATATATGGTTTCAACGTCTCAAAACAAGGCTTCAACCTACATCCTTTGACTCAGAGGCAACAATGCTACTGACTGAGTCAGTTAATATTGGTCAGTAAGACTTCACAGTAAGTGGTGCAGGCTGTTTGGCCAGGGGAAGGGGTGGGGAAGCACAGTCAAGTCTAATCGTTTCCACATTCAAATCCTGAAATTCCTCCTAAAGAGCAACGACTTGAAATTTAAGTCCAGATGAAATTTTGGAAAATTCTTAAATCCATTTTGAATTTTCCACGAAATTTTAAAAATAACCGTTAAAGAAAAACAGCTTCAAAATTAAGTCCAAATCCGATAGTTTTCCAAAATTCTACTCAATCTTACATTTTTGAAACACTGGCCTGAAGGCCATTTTTCTCTTTGCGCACTGGTGACACTGGTACTACAGTATATAAAACGCTGCTGTGTTTCGCCCACAAAATACACAATCAATTCACTTTACAATATATTCTGTGAAACGTTTTGAGATGTCTCAACAATGTGATAAGGCACTATATCAATTGCAAGAATTATTAATATATATTCAAGTCAGTTTGCAAAAGAGAAGGTTGTGCAAAGCAGATAATAGAACAAGAGTTCAGAATTTCTAATTCTGATGGCACGAGTTTTGCATGTGCTGCTTAGGGATGTCTGGATGGGAACAATCCAAAAAAATTCTATCCAAAATTCAGTGAAGGTTTATTTGTAAGACTTTTCCAAGATGTGCTTGAAATCCATCAGTTTGGATACCCTGAAAATCTCACCCTCATGCATTTGAACTCCTCTTTCACATGTTCAGTTGCGTGGCTGGGCTAAAAAAAAAACTTCAGTCTTCTTAGCTGGTGCTAACTTGTACATTAATCCTTTTCTGGGTGAATAGTATATCATATCCTCTCAGCCACATAATACGTTTGACTACATTTTTTGGACAGCCTGGAGTTTCCACATTCTGTGAATAAATAGATTATTTCAGAACGACTGTGGTTTCTCTGTGTACTGTTAACAAGCTTCCCTCTCTTCTTGAATTCACGTGACCGCCCCCCTAACCCCAAATTGTATTTCTTCCCCGGCCAAGAATGTGTAGACGTTACTTTCCTGAAGATTTGTCCGAGTTTCATTCTCTAATTGACTACTGAAGAAGTCTCAAGATTGATGCTTGACTGTCTGTCTCTTTGTGCATCACTACATCTCTACCTCTCACTGCCAGCCTGTCTGTGTGCCTACCTGCCTGTCTGTCTGTCTCTTTCTTTCATTTCTGTTGCCGTCTGTCTTCCTGGGAAGATGTGCCACTTTGAATATGCTGGCCAAATCTGCAGATCAGACATTGTGTGAGGTTTTAAGATAAACTATAGTTGAAGGATTTACCCTGTAAAAAAATAAATCAAATGCAAACAGTTGTCAATCAATTCTGTAAAGACCACGTGGCACACAACTATTTATGTGGCTGTTCATTTTTCAGATTGTGTTTGAAGTCACTTTCAGCAGTATTGATGGAGGTCATGTAGCTTTGGATGATATTTTTTTCTCTTCACATTTCTGCAGTAATAAAACAGGTTTGTCATCTTTTAACTTCCTCTTTTGTTGAGTGACTGAAGGACAAAGATGGTATTGCACTGATCTGAATTTGAATGGTTTGGTACATTTCAAAGAATGTTAAAACAGTTTATGTGTGAGTTTGGCATATCTCCACCAAAAGTTCAGTGCTCATGCACTGCACTCATGTATAGAGACAGTGCAGCACTACAAATTACACAGAGTTCATATGCAGGGACAGACTTTATCTTCTCAAATGCACTCCTCGCTGATCTCCCGAGTTCCACCATCCTTAATGTTCATCTCATTCAAATCGCTACCACCCACAATCTCAACTACACAAAACCCTGCACACCCATCACCCCAATGCTCACCAGCCTCTATTGGTTCCCTGTCTCCAAAAGGATTGATTTCAAGATCCTCACCTACAAATTCCTTCCTGCCCTAGCACCTCCCTACCTCTCTCACCTTACACATAACCTACTCTGCCTGCCCGCTTTGTTCAGCTGGCACAGGCATGCGTGTATCCCCCCAACTCCCACATGCCATTGTTGGTAGCCTAGCCTTTAGCCTAATGTCTGGAATATCCTCCCTCAAACCCTCTGTCTCGCCTCCTCTTTATCTGTCTTTAAATCCTGTCTTAAGACCTGCCTCTTTGACCATCACCTCCCACTTCTCCCCTGCTCGATGTCTAGCCCTGCCACTATGCAGTGCTCTGAGATGCTATTCTGCATGAAGCGAGAAGAGATTAGAGAGGTATGAGCTCATGTGGAGTATAAACACCAGCACGTATAATTGGACGGCATTTCTGTGCTGTAACGTTCTATGTAATTCTATGTAAATTCGGATGTGCTCAGATAAAGTCATGGCTGTTTCTAGCTAGGACTGCTCTTCTGTGTTAAACATGTGTTGATTCCATTGATAGCATTAATTGTAGTTCAGTAAATAGTTGCAGCTCTACATATTATAGACAAGTGATTGTGCAACTAGACAGTCTATTGCACTGCAAAGAGTTTGTTATATACTTACAGTGTTTTCTGTTTTTGTTCAATAAAGCACTGCTCCTTGACCCATCTATGGCAAATTGTGACTTTGATGATGGGCTTTGCAATTATTCCCAAAACCATGAGGATAACACAAAATGGACTAGACTGGTCAGGAAACCAAATCCTTTCCGATTCGGAGACCACAGCAGTGGAATGGGTAAGACAGCTGTTGCATGTGTATTGTGAGTTCTGTTACGGGCACCAAATTATCCACACTCAGAGCAAAGAAAGTGGATGCAAATGTTATGATCAATCTACTGCGATACTCAATGTGGTCAGCTATCAGAACATTCTTTTAAGTAATCTTCAAAAGACCAGCATCCTTAATGAAAAGAGATTTGTCTGACCTCATTCATTTGTGGGTGAATGCCTGGTACATTGTCACAAGTGCTGTCGAAATCCATATGAACCTTATTTGTGCATCATTTGAAGGTAATGACCCATCTCTTTCTCCATCCTTAGGGGAAGAATAAAGATTGTCCGAACACTTCTGTTATAGGAACATAGGAACAGGAGTAGGCCATTCAGCCCCTTGAGCCTGTTACCTCATTCTATTAGATCATGGCTGATCTGTAACTCAACTTCAATTACCCTTTGTTCCATATCCCCCATAACAGCTTAAATCTGTTTTTCTCCACATCCCTATCAAATCATGTTTTTATTTTAAAGAATTTGTTACCATCTCCAGCATCGACACCTCTTTTAAAGGACCCAAATCTGTTCCTGAAGGTGGAATATGTTTCCCCTGTGACTAGGACTGTCTTGTTACATCTTTTCACATGCCCAAGGGATTTAACAATTGGCTCCACAGAAACATGTGGTCTCAGCACCAACCTCAGACTAGGAACTGGAGGAACTGGAAAATCAGACAGTGTTCCCACTACTGATCCATATCAGTTGACCTATGCTGGGTGAAAGATGTGGCAGCATAGATAAAATGAAGACAGGATTGTGTCAATGATGACCTTTTAGTCGATTAGCATGTTAACATGCAGTGTTTAAGGAAATGGCTGTAACGCCCATGGAACAAACTCAGAATAAGTCATTGCATTCAGGAGGTCAAATGAGATACAATTTGGGGGAGGAGAGGAGAGGAGTGAAACAGTCATATAAAATTTTGTGTGGTTGCTAAAAACATAAAAGCCCGTTTGGTTTATAACATCTTATAGAAAGGAATCTGCTTAAGTTTGAGATAGGATTTTGTCACAGCACAGGAGAAAATTTAGCACCAACCAAGGCACAGAATGTTTCCATTGTGATGTGTTTAATATTGTAATCTCTACTGAGCGGAGGTGGAGGATATTTTCTTTGGATGGTGAACAGCAGGTAGTTACGGCATCTATACAAGTAGCATATACTGTTATTACTTTTTTTTAACCATAATGTTAAAATATGTGAATATTCTGCGTGTGTACATTAGAAGGAGGTGCGTTGACAATTCAACAGAATGTGCCACAGGATACAGGGTTGTTGTACTCAACAACTACAACTTGCATTTATATAGAACCTTTCACATGGGAAGCATCTTGGACTCCTGCACCATGGAATGCCCAGAGCTCTTCCACTGCAGAATAAATTTCCAACCTTGGCCATGCCCTTAGGCGTATTGTCTTGTGGCTCAAGTGACGGGGATTTGGGGTCAGATAGTCAGACAGGCCTCCTCTTTGGAGAATTAAAATTTTTTAAAAAAATTTGAAGATGGGAAAAATTCTCATTTCCTGAGCAAACAAATTTTAAAAAAAGTGTAAGATGTCTTTGGACAGAGACTTTGCTATTTTTGGTGTGATACCAGGGTTTGATGACCTTTTCCGTTATGCTAAGTGGGGAAAGTGCACACAGTTGCATAAGTGTGATTTGAATTTCGGTTGGTTACATTTGACTGTTGTTGAATGTGGGATGTTCGGATATAAAACCCATATTCAAAATGGCACATCTCCTTCAAACCGTGAAACTACACAAGACCGGGCCCAGGTTTTGCGACTGATATCTCTTGAGACAGCCGAGATCCCAGAGGATTTCAGAATACTGATTGTCATTTTAATTACAGAAGTAGGCTATTTGGCCCATCGAGCTGTCCTACCACTTTGTGTCCTGTCCGTAACTCAATTCCACCTCTCTGCCAGCTCTCCTTCGAATACCTTATATCTCTTATTGACATCCCTTGCTATTGATAGCTCCTGTCTATCAAGAACTTATCTATCTGCTTTTTAAGTTCTTGTGTTGACTCTGCCCTCTAGGGGAGTAAATTCCATACTCCCATCACCTGCTACGTGCAAAAATGTTTTCTTATTTTACTTTGAAATGGTTTAGCCTTGGGTTTAAGATAGCAACCTGGATTCTACAGTGGACACAGGCTAGGGATCACCGATTCATGACAATAGGTCAAGCAATGTCAGGATACCTACCACATCAATACTGCAAATACACACAGCTTGTATTTCATAAATCATTGGTTTATCATTGCTCTGCCCATAGCACAGATACGGCGCTTGTCAAGGTCACAAACAACATCCTCTCTCTCTATGACCAGGGCTCCCTCTGCCTCTGCTGGACCTCTTCCACAGACACGGGATAAACGTCCACATGTATGCAGATGAAACATAAATCTACTTCTCCTCCTCCAGCTTTGACTCCAGGTCCACCGACGTTGTCTCTGCTTGTCTGGCAGACATCCGGGTCTGGATGAACGCAAACGTCTTACAACTCAATGTTAACAAGACGGTAGACATACTCATTGGCTCCTGTCAATATCTTCCATCCTGCAGCTCTGACCTTCTCAGCCTCCCCGGCCTATCTCTCAGACTCACCGAACCGGTGCTCAACCTAGACGCCAGGTTCGACACACAGCTGTCCTTCCTTCCCCACATTTGTTCCCTGACCAGAACCACCTTCCTCGACCTTCGCCACATTGCCCGCCTCCGACTGTACGTTACCTCAGATGCAGACGAAATGCGTTCGTCACCTCCAGACTTGACTTTTCAAGTGACCTCTTCACCAGTCTCCCCAACTCCACCATGCATAGGATACAGCTGATCCAAAACTCCGCTACCCGCATACTCACCCACATTAAACTCCGTACCCCCATCACACCAGTTCTAGCCAGGCTCCACTGGTTTCCTATCGCTGAACGGATCGATTTCAAGATCCTCACATTCGTTTTCAAATCCCTTCATGCCCTGGCACCTCCCTACCTCTCCGATCTGCTTACCCCACAACCCACAACCTGCTGCCTCCAATCAACTGGCTCCGGCCGCCTGCATGTCCCACATGTCTTCTGTTCCACCATTGGTGGCCACACTTTTAGTCACTACACCCCAAAACTCTGGAACACTCTTCCTCTATCCCTCCGCCTTGCCCCTTCCTTCCCCATTTTCAGATCACACCTGAAGACCTTCCTATTCAACTGTGCCTATGGTCACTTCCCCCCAGTTCAGCATCATGCTCCGCCACTGTCAAATGCTCTGGGACACTACCCTGCATGGGGTGGGGTGGGGGGGTGCTATATAAATGCAAGTTGTTGTTATTTTTCCATCATATTTTAGTTATACTGAAATTCTTCTGCAGCTTATTCTTTTGCGGGATTCGCAGGCAAGGCTGACGTCCTCTCACCCGACTGCTACAGACACACAGACACACAACCAGCAGAGGGTAGTTTGGAGAGATTAGGAACAGGAACTTTGTCTGGTTGCCAACCCCCAACCCTGGGAAGGCCAGGGCCAATTTAGCACCAGTAAGGTCAGCCAATTAAGAATGTACTGAGATTTGAATCAGCGACCTCTGTCCATTGCATTATCAGGGCTGCCCCATCTGGGTTTCTTTCTGAAACCTTTTATAGTTCCTTGTTCCACCACTTGTGTTAGTAATTTGTTCCCCATTCCTAGCACACTTTTCCTAAACACTAATTCTAGACTTGCTAGACTTCCTATTTGCTTTTCCTTTCCTTATTTTGAAGCCATGACTCTGTTGTTTTCAATTCATCACTGGTGATAATCATCATGTTTTTGATACCAGTCCATATTGTTGATATTGCAGTTGAGGTTACTTTGACTGTGTGAATCTTCCCCCTACCCTCAATTTCCCACAATAGTTGGGCTGGAAGCCACCATAGGAGTTTAAAGTTTGATTTTTTTGGGGTTGAGTTAAGTCAATATCCAAAAGATAGTCACACAGTTTTACAAAAAAAAGTGACATCTAGAATATTTTACTAGGGAAAGTCAACAAACGAAATAGTATAAATAGTATAAATAGGTTCAAAAGGCAAGTAAGACTGTTTCTAAAGAAACAGCGTGGATTTAATGAGAAAATGGAAAATTGGGTCTTAAGATCAACTAAAAATGTTGTGGGTGTGTTGGATGAAATAGCCGTTTCCTGTTCCTAACATCTTCTCTGTCTCGTGGACTTGAGAAATGATTACTTTTGAAATCAAATTAAAATACTCTGGCCCTGGTCACAATAACCACTAATGCTTTTGGCAAATTTCAGAACTAGAATGTGAATTCTGTGGACTACCTCCAAAGGCTATAATTACTTTCACTTGCTTTACATTGCTTTTTTTGAGTGACGTGCTCTCTCTAATTATTTCAAAGGTGGCTTTTTGATTTCCAATGCAAGATACGGAGCTTGGCAAGACTATATGGGATATCTTAGTGGTCCAATCCTGCCAGCGAACCTACAGTACTGTGTCCGCTTTTTTTATGCCTTAAGCCATTTCGGTATAACAGAGGATGCACTCGCAGTGTATATCTATGATGATCAAGACAAAGTTCTAGAGAAAATCTGGTCAATCCCCAAATCTCAAACCAGAGTGTGGATTCAGGCTGAAATCAACTACCACAGACAAGAGCCCAGTAAGGTAATATTTTATTGTCCTGCAGATTATCCTGAAGCTTAGTGTGTTAAAATTTTATCTACGGTCAAATTTACATTCTACAGAATCAACATTTCATCTCACTACATCACCTGTTTCAATTGTACACTGCGGAGAGATCCCACAGGCATTGGTCACTGACATTAATGAACTTTTCATCTGTACAATAAAACTCACATAAGTCTGATCTGTATAAATAATATATTTACCTAAGTTTGAAGTAACTTATACTTTGCATAAGTAATATTGAATGTATGGTCCCAACTGATATGACTTGTGTGAGGTTTACCTTATTACAATGGGGTTGCTTATTATAGTTGCAGAACAGGTTACAAGTGTTAGTAACAAGGCATATTTTAGCCAACAGGATTCAATGAAACATTTTGGGCATCATGTCAATACTGTAAGTACAAAGGTTGTCATAAATGTTGCATCTGTCCTAAGCATTGTGAAAACACCTAGAATATTGCTGCTGAAGTTTTTGCCTACTTTGACTCTCCCACCCACAATTGTGACCTGATTTTTAGAACTGGGAGTCAAAATGAAGTATTACTTTCAGTATTCTGGATCTAACAGTGCTGAGGTCTGATGTATTAGGGAAGGGATCAATTGTCTGCATTCAAATCCTATTTGAGACCTGGATCTGCAAATTTTATTCATTCAAAGTGCTCCAAACTGACTGTGAATTTCCATTGCAAATGCTGTAATGGGGATTGCTGAAGTGTTTTGCAAGCTTCACAGGAGCTATCAAAATGAGAGTTGACGAGTTCCAACCAGTCTTTCACTCTAAGTAACCGAGAAGCCCTGATGCTGTTTAGAAAGTATTTGTGTGGCAACAAATCTGCTTGTCAACTTGTCTTGATATTTTCAAGAATTAGTTACTGGGTTATTGCAGCAAAAAGCCATCTTTGTTATTTGATCCTCAAGATTGTGAAATTTCTTAATAGTTTGGTGCTGTGCATAAATGTGTCAAGCGTCTGGATGGCTGTCTCTATGCCATTAAGCGGTTGAAAAGACCTCTGTCTGGGTCAACTGATGAACAGATAGCGCTGTGTGAAGTGTATGCACATGCTGTGCTGGGACATCACCCCCATGTGGCGCGTTACTACTCGGCATGGGCAGAGGATGATCACATGCTCATTCAGAATGAGTACTGCAATGGTGGCAGCCTGGCAGACATAGTGATGGAGAACCTGCAGAAAGGAACTTCACTTTCTGAAGGAGAATTGAAGGAGATTCTGCTGCAAGTATCCATTGGCCTGAAATACGTCCACAATTCTGGCCTGGTCCTTATGGACGTGAAGCCAAGTAATATTTTCATTTGTAAAAAAATGATTGATGCTAAGTCTGGATGCTTGGAAGAAGACAGTGATATTGACGAAGATGGTGTTTTGTTTACAAATATACTACACAAAATAGGTGACCTTGGCCATGTGACCTCAATTTCAAATCCAAGTGGAGGAAGGAGACTGCCGCTTCTTAGCCAATGAGATATTACAAGAGGACTATTCTAATTTGCCCAAAGCGGATATTTTTGCCCTGAGTCTGACCATCACCTTGGCTGCAGGAGTGGAAAGACTGCCTCACAATGACATGGCTTGGCATTACATCAGAAATAGCAACCTTCCCACAATACCTTTGCAGTTGTCACATGAATTTTACGGTCTATTGAAGTTGATGGTTCATTCAAATCCAATTGCGAGGCTTTCAGCAGCTGCCCTCACCAAACATCCCACACTTCGCAGAACAATGGGAAAATCAGCAGCACAGCTCCGTAAGGAGTTCAACGTAGAATGCTTCAGGACTGCCATGTTAGAAAGGGAGCTGATGAAAGCTCAGCTGTTGCAGGCCTTCCCTCGGACAGACCTCACAGAGTCCTCCACCCTTGGAAGAAGGACCTCCTGCCAGGGACGAAGAACCAACGGTTGGTGGGAGGCAGACACAATTGGTCAGTGAGCTTCAACTGTGGTGCCTACTGAAGCCATCTCTGTGCAGTGCTCTCAGGAAAGACTCGAACCTGATGAACCAGCTTACTCCAATCCCTCCAAGACAAAAAACATTAATAAATTGGTCATTTTGAATCCACTGCTGCATGCAATTGGCTGCTGCGTTTCGCCCACAAATATACAGTCAATTCACTTTACAGTCTATTCTGTGAAGCGCTTTGAGATGTCGAGAATACATGAAAAGCGCTATATCAAATGCAAGGATCATTATTATTATTATTATTATAGTTTCTGGAAACTTTTGGAGAACGTCAGCATGAGGCTTATCAGTAGCAGGGTTGCCATTATGTGATGCTGACACATAATGGAAACCAAACCCTAAGCTTATTATTCAATTCTGTTTGTGGTGGTGTTAGTCATTATTTTATTACTTCATGTCTACACCACAGCCTTTAACTTTCCATCAAGGATTATTTCTAGATTTCTCAGCAAAACATCAGCTGCAAACATCAGCCAGAATTCAGCCTATTTTGTAAATCAGAATCCAGCTTGTCAACATAGCCACATTATTGTTAGCATTTAAATAGGGTGATGGAGGCTGTGGTTAGTGTTGATTTTCCAACACAGTCCTTGCAGTGTTATTACATGCTTGACAACCCTGGCAGACAATAGGGTCTGATATACACAGATGTCTAATGATAGCACTTTTCTCTATGTCTCTACAGTGATCAGTGTAAGTTCAGATGAGATGTTAAACCGAGCTTCTGTCTGCTTGATCAGCTGGAGGTTAAAGATCCCATGGAAGAAAAGGGAGTTTCTCATATTGGCTGCTATGTTTGGGAACAAATACAGAGTCACCACACTTTATAGAAAAATTCTTAAGCATTTTGAAGAGTTTTGAGGCTGTAGCTGCTATATCAAATTCAAGTATTATTATTAAGTTAAATCCCAATATCATAAGCCTCCTGTAACTTTTGCCTCTGGAACCTGGAAAACTACTTGCCCATTGAGCAAGTTCACTTTGTAACTCATGAGGCTTTTCTTATCGGGATTTACTGTTGAATACTTGCCAACATGGGGAGAAATTCCACCTGGCTCCAGATTTACTCCCATTTATGTATCATCTTAGGTCATCCAGAATTTGGTAAATTGATTGTTGAATTCAGTCTCAGTTAAAATTTACAAGAAAAAATTTGATAAATTCTGGATTACTCTCAGATGCTAAGAATATCAGGTAAGGCTGGAGCGAGTTGGAAATTTCAGACCCCGCCACCCCACCCCCACCCCACACCCCGACATTCACAAATAAAGAAGGGTGAAACGTGCAGCAAACATCAGGTTCCTGTAGAATTGTATCTAGCAAGAGTGGGGGCCTTTAGGAGGAGAGGTAATTGGCAAGAGAAAACCATTTTTTTCCTGAAGCGATTAGGTTTTTAATAAATGTTTTGTTTCTCTTTGTAAAGCACAGTGAAGCACATTTAATTTTGGGGGGAAAATAGAGAAAATAAGTGACCTTAGTGCAAATGTCCCTTTGTGATCTTCAAACTATTGGATCTGATCACAGCTGTTGAGCCCTGGGTCAGCAGAAAATTAAAATCATTTAATTGTGCCAAAAGTCAGAAAGAGTGAGTGGCAGGTGGGCAGTGTGTTTTATTCAGAATCGGCCACCTGTTTTGCACTGTGAGTATCTGCGGTGAGCATAGATTTACATAGATTATACTTCAGGGAAATGGGTAATTCAGCCCAACCAGTCCATGCCGGTGTTTACACATTCCCCATCCGCTCCTTAGTACCCTGTATTCCCTTGTCCCTCAACACACCACATGCTGTTATAAATCAACTTCTAACACAAAGTTTTTCACCATGTGGACGACCACATTTTTTTCCAACCGGGCATGCCCGCTGAGTGAATCACTGCTGAATTCGCCGTAGAGTAGGATTCAGCGGTTAAGACTCTCTCGCCTGTATCCCGTGCAGTTGTAATAAAACGCCTCGCAGAATAGGCTCCTTTAGTTTGAACCACATAGACGCCACAAACTTGCGGGAACAGCGGAGGGGTCTTCTGGTAACTGGAAATACATAGTGCGGAGTGAAGGAGTGGACCCTGCTCTGAAAATAGTTTAAGGTAGGACAAAGTTCCTGAGAGTCAGCGTCACAAACGCCTGGATTTCTTTATTAAGAAATTCCGCAAAATTGCCCACAAAGGAGTAAGACAGCCCTGCCCTAGGCTACATTTACACTTTGTTCTCATTTCAAATGAGTTTCAAACTCAATACAATACAGGTTAATGTTTATATAGTGCCTTTCTGTCTGGAGGACTCCCGATTTGTAACAGCCTGTAGACCGATGGTGACAAAATGTTGGGAATCCAGCACGGATTAATAATGGACTTAAATACTCACAGACAGCTGATCACCGTGGTGACAGAATGCACTGAGAATTTTATGAATTCATAAGTGATGGATGCATATGTGTATTTTTCAGATAGCGTTCGTCAGCATCTGTCAGAATTTCTGGAACTGTGGACAGGTTGCACTGGATGATGTTACAGTGAGCCAAGGAGACTGTCAGAGCCCTGGAGGTACAGAGTGCATCCCACCTGTTAATCACTGTCATTAGTAAATCATTCATTCTGCAAGTCGTGACAGAGAAAGTGGCAGATAAATAGCTATTGCAATCCCTATAGCAGCATTGCAGTGTCTTTTTCCACCGAAGCACTGAGGGAGAAGTTGTAATGGTCTTAAAATCAAAATCTAGCAATAAAACATTAGGGATAAATTCAAATGTTTGCATAAAGATTCATCTTAGCTTTTTGAAGCAAATGAGAGTAGATGTTACTAGCTAATAATTTTACCAAGTTTGCTTTGAGTGACAATGAAAAAATTAATGTTCAAAAAATATCAACAATAAATAAATAATTTGGGGGATCTTCACAGGCTCCTGGCCAGCTCATCCCGGAGAGTGCAGTTTTGATGTAGGCAGTTGTGGGTTCATTCAGGACAACAAGGACAAAAGCAATTGGCACAGGAGAAGTGGTATGACACCAACCTCCTTCACAGGTCCCAAAGGAGATCACACAACAGGGGTAGGTGAGTTGCACTTTATGGCTGGCTTTTTTCTTCCTCAGTCAATCTAATTGTCTTTCCGCCCCTCCCGAACCTGACGTTGGGATTGCTGGTGGGGATCGGTTTCACAGGTACAGAAATACTTTGTTCAAATGACCATTCTGCATGTATGAGTCTTGCACAGTGAGTGATGGCAGCCTATTCATTTGCTGAGAGCATCATACCCCGAACATATCCACACTGATGTACTTTTCAGAAGTGATCTTTGGAGAGAGATCAGAGACTCGAAATATTCTTTCCTCGTATAATTGAGAAATATAGACAATGCATTCCCCACCCCGCAGCATTAGTTTCATTGTCTGTTTAATTTACATTGGGAAATTCCATCTGGGAGATAGTGTCCATAGTTATGTCTGAATTTGGTGCTCTGCATTTTGCTCGCATTCCCTCCCGATGTTCAGTAACAGTTTGATTCCAGCTGGTTGAGATTTACCAGCTGTTCTTGAAATTAACTCCTGAGGATTTGGCAGGGTACAAGCCTTTTTTTGAAACTGAGCTGTGGGGGTGCATCACTGTACATTTTGTGTCAAGTACTGTCTGTATTTAACATTGACAACTCTATACGTCAAAGAAAATGCAGGACTCTGGCAATTAATTGAAGAAAGGCAATCTGAACAATTTTCTAGCAACATTACAATAGCATCCTTTTTCTAGAACACATTGGTGACAAATTCATCTAATGACTGGGAAATGTTTAAGGAAAGGTTCTTGGAATGAACATTAGCCGATTTGCAATCATAGTTTTCCAGCCGTAGGACATGGTCTGATGGGGCTATATAAGCCTACTTTGAAACGGCCAGAAACCAGATCAGTTCTTCTGACATGGAAAAGTTTTAAAGTCAATATGTCAGTCATGCCGATATATAAATGGGTGCACACAGTTTAAAGTGAAAGTCCTGTAGAGTTCTGGAGTCCTTGGAGTCCTGTAGCTCAGTGGTTAGAGCACTCGCTTTGCAAGCGAGAGACCTGAGTTCAATTCCAGGCAGGGCGAAACCTTGGGCAAGTTTCCTTACTCCACACACCTAATAATAATCCCTCCAAAACCAAAAACAATAATAAATTGGTCATTTTCAATCTACGACTGTTTGTGGGACATTTCTGTGTGCAATTGGCTGCCGCGTTCGCCCACAAATATACAGTCAATTCACTTTACAGTGTGTTCTGTGAAGCGCTTTGGGACGTCCTCCCGACGTGAAAAGCGCTATATCAAATGCAAGGATTATTATTATTATTATTATTATTAAAGATAAAATGAATGATGTGACAGAAACTGTGGTGAGATGCATGTCTTGGCTGTAATGGACCTGCTAAGGAATGTTACGCTGGCAAGATAAAAAATTAAGATTTATGTTTTCCAGAATTGGATGCATTAAGAAAATCAGATTTGTTGCATTAATTGCCACTTATGGGTTTTCGAATATCGAATTGCGAGGCAGCAAATTGCAAATATCAAAATGCAGAAAAGTTTTTTTTTGTAAAAAGCAAGATATTGCAAGCTGGAAGTTGCAATTAATGCAATTAATCCAGTTTCCAAATACTGTGGTTCAAATACATAACCAGCTGGGAGCAAACTATTACTGAGCTTTGATGTGAATTTAAACATTATTTATAAATATCAACGAAAACAGTCGATGACTAAAGCCTACCCAAAGATATACCCACCCCCACCCCCGAACTCCATCACATTATTTGGCCCTGAAGCCTGTCTTTATTTATTAAATGTTCTTAGTTATGAATTGGCTGTGTTGACCACACAATGGCCACAAAAAGACAATTAGCACAGCACATTTTTCACCCCAGATCACTTATTAAATCGTTAATGGGAATTTGTTTTGAAATAGTGTTTCCACAACTAAATCTTTTTTAATTCTTTGATATAGGGCATTACATGTACATTGAAGCCTCTCATATGAGACGTGGGTATAACGCCCGTTTGCTGACATGGCAACTACGGGAGTTCACTGGCCGGCAGTGCTTGACATTCTTCTACCACATGTATGGCTTGGGCACTGGGTCACTAAATGTTTATTTAATTAAGGAGAAGACTCAAGAAACTCTCATGTGGAATCGAAAAGGCGAGCAGAGTATATCTTGGCTGAAGGCCTTTGTAGACTATGAGTGTGAGAAGAACCATCAGGTTAGTTTGTGTTAAAATCCCATATAGTCGTGTTCTTTCCCTTAAAAACTGCCACCATCACGCCCACCCTGAAAAAACCCTCCCTTGATGCGTCGCAGCTATCAAGCTACTGGCCCATCTCCAACCTCCCCTTTCTCTCCAAGGTCCTGGAAAGAGTTGTCGCCTCCCAACTGCGCTCTTTCCTTTCCACCCATTCACTTTTCGAACCCCTTCAGTCAGGTTTCCGTGCTGCCCATAGCACAGAAACTGCCCTGGTCAAGGTCACCAATGATATCCTGACCATCTGTGACCAGGGCTCCCTCTGCCTCCTCGTCCTCCTCGACCTATCGGCAGCATTCAATACAGTCGACCACGCTATCCTACTCCACCGCTTGTCCTCCCACCTCAACCTTCAAGGCACTGTCCTTGAGTGGTTTAGGTCGTACCTTTCTCACCGTCTTCACTTTGTCTCGACAAATGGCTTCTCCTCCACCCCCCGCACTGTCTCATGTGGTGTCCCTCAGGGCTCTGTCCTTGGTCCCCTCCTCTTCACCCTCTATATGCTCCCCCTCGGTGACATCATCCGCAGACATGGAGTTAACTTCCACATGTATGCGGATGACACCCAACTCTACCTTTCCTCCTCTACTCTCAACTCCACGACCACCGATGTCCTGACAGCTGCCTGTCCGACATCGAGTCCTGGACGAGAGACAACTTTCTTCAGCTCAACGTGCGAAAAACCGAGGCCCTCCTGATTGGCTCACGTCAGCGCCTCCGCACCTCAGGCGCTGACACCATCAGCATCCAAGGCTGCACTCTCCACCTCTCAAAGCCAGTCAGGAACCTCGGCGTTTTGTTCGACCCTGAGCTGTCCTTTCTCCCTCACATCCGCACCACAACTGGCACCGCCTTCCATCACCTCCGGAACATCGCCAGACTACGGCACTACCTCACCCCTCACGCTGCTGAAACCCTGGTCCACGCCTTTGTCACCTCAAGGCTGGACTATGGGAACTCTCTCCTCGCCGGCCTTCCCGGCACCTCCCTCCACAAGCTGCAGGTCATTCAGAACTCTGCAGCTCGTGTACTGTCCCGCACCAGGCTTCGGGACCACATCACTCCCACCCTCGCTCGCCTCCACTGGCTCCCCATCCCCCAGAGGATCGAATTCAAGATCCTCATCCTCACCTACAAGGCCATTCACGGCCTTGCTCCCTCCTACCTCTCCAACCTACTATCCCCCTACCTACCTGCCCGTACCCTCCGTTCTCCGGCTCCGGTCTGCTCCACGTCCCCCGCCCCAATCGCCCTACCATCGGTGGTCGGGCCTTCAGCCTCTCAGCCCCGAGGCTCTGGAACTCTATCCCCCAGTGCCTTCGCCTTGCTTCCTCCCTTTCCTCCTTCAAGGCCGGTCTCAAAACCTTTCTCTTTGACCGAGCCTTCAGCTCCCCTCTCGACTCTCTTCCCCCTCCTCGCTCCCTCCCTTCCCTCCCCTCACCCTGACCATTTCCCCCCTCCTCGCTCCCTCCCTTCCCTCCCCTCACCCTGACCATTTCCCCCCTGCTCGGGTCATGACCCAACTGTGCAGCGCCTTGGGACGTCCTCCTGACGTGAAAGGCGCTTTATAAATGGAATCTTGTTGTTATTGTTGTTGTTGTTCAGCAAATGAAACTTCTATCCACAGAATCTGGGCAAATAGAGGGAGGGCCTCCACCTTCTCAACACTTGAAGAGACTGCCTTGGCTGCAAAGCACTCTGAGAGAAACAATCTCACCTTGCAAACCCAAGCTTCATACCCTGATAGCACTGCTGGCTCAGGATGGACTGTGTACAGCAAGCTGTGTTTGCAGGCTTAAACTGACACACTATTCTTACACTAAACTTCAAGTCTATTCTTAATACAATAACTCAATGGAGTCCAGTAGAGTAGTGACCTCGCAGGTGAGAGAACCTAGATTCGGTTTCTGGGCAGGGCGAAATCTTAGGCACTTTTTCTTACTCCACACGCTTCTGTTTACCTAGCAGTAAGTAGGAACCCAGTTGTTAGTTGATTGGCGCATCGTTTTTCCGGGGGTAATAATCCCTACAAAAAAAATAATAATAATGATTTGGTCACTCAATCCACAACTTTTTGTGGGACACAGCTGTGCACAATTGGCTGCCTTGTTTCGCCCACAAAATATACAGGCAATTCAGTTTACAATACCTTCTGTGAAGTGCTTTGAGGTGTCTTGAAGATGTGATGAGGCGCTATATCAAATGCTGCAATTATTATTATATATAGCCTATCAAGTCATCGAGACAAGTCAAAACGCTTCACAGAATTTTACATAGTAGTCACTGTATTGTGTAGACAAACGGGTCCAGTCAATTTGTACACAGCAATGTCCCACAAACTGCCATGAAGTGAGCAACCAATTTTTATTGGGTGGTGGGGGGTATTGTTGGCCAGGACACCAAGAGAAGCTCCTTTCTTTTAAAGAGGTTTGTGACATCCCCCTGATATGAAAGGTGCCATATCAAATGCAATAAATATTATTAAATTGGGCATGTTCACGCTGGAAAAGGGAAGATTGAGAAGAGATATGATTGCTGTCTTTAAGGTTCTACGGTGGCGAGAAAATATAGATCATGTGAAGTACTGTAGCTCAGTGGTTAGAGCACTCCCCTTGCAAGTGAGACACCTGTGTTGATTCCTTCAAACATAAATTAGATAGTTTTCTTTTGGGAAATAACATTATGGGATACAGTATATCGGTATTTTGGAACATATGTGCATGCGACCCGCCAGGAAGGTGGAAGACAAACTAGATGGACCTTGATCTTTTTTTGTTTAGCATTTCTTATGTTCTTATGTTATTAGCTCAAATATCACATTATAAAGAGCTTCCACTATATATTGTAACTCAAGTTTTCACATCTGGAATACACCACGAGAAAGTAAACAACTCTTAAAAATGTTATAGGCAACTTTTCACTAACAAATTACTGGTTTCTTTTCAGATTGTCTTTGAAGCAGTTCGTGGTCGAGCAATAAGCAGTGACATTGCAATAGATGACATTTTATTTAAGAAAGGACCCTGTAAAGGTACATTTTGATTGAATACTTCAAAGTCTTATTTCAATCTTCTGCTAAAATGTAATTTCTGAAATGCTATCCAGTACTCAAAATAGAACTAAAATGGTAATAATAATAATCATTGCATTTGAAAAAGTTTCTTATCATGTCTTTGAGATGCCTCAAAGCGCTTCACAGAATATACTGTAAACAACAACAAAATTACATTTATAGAGAGCCTTTCATGTCAGGAGGACGTCCCAAAGCACTGAACAGTCAGGGGTTGGGGCCCGAGCATGGGGAAGAAGTGGTGTAGGGGTGAGGGAACGCAGAGAGGTGGGAGGGAGACCAAAGGCACGGTTGAAGAGAAGGGTCTTGAGACCGGCCTTGAAGGATGCAAGAGAGGAAGCGAGGTGAAGGGACCGTGGGATGGAGTTCCAGAGTGCGGGGGCAGAGAGGCTGAAAGCCCAGCTACCGATGGTAGGGTGGGTCGGGTGGGAGATATGGAGCAGGCAGGAGCCCTCAAACGGAGGGAGCAGGCAGATTGGTAGGGAGTCAGCAAGTCAGAGAGGTAGGAGGGGGTAAGGCCATGGATAGCCTTAAAGGTGAGGACCAGGATCTTGAACTCGATTCTCTGTGGGATGGGGAGCCAGTGGAGTCGGGCGAGGGTGGGAGTGGTGGAGTCACGGAGCCTGGTGCGTGAGAGTACACAAGCTTCAGAGTTTGGGATGATCTGCAGCTTCTGAACGGAAGAGTTGGGAAGGCCGATCAGGAGGGAGTTCCTGTAATCAGGCCTTGAGGTGATGAATGCGTGGGTGAGGGTTTCGGCAGCCTGAGGGGTGAGGCAGTGGCAGAGTCTGGCAATGTTGCGGAGGTGGTGGTAGGCAGTGCCGGTCATGGCGTGGATGTGGGGGAGAAAGGACAGTTCAGGATCAAACAAGATATGGCTTAGTGAGGTTGAGTGTGCAGCCGTGGAGGCTGATGCTGCCAGCGCCTGAGGTGCGGAAGCGCTGGTGCGAGCCAATCAGGAGGGACTCGGTCTTGACGTGGAGAAAGATGACCCTCGTCCAGGACTTGATGTCAGACAGGCAGTCGGTCAGGACGCCAGTAGTCCTGGAAGAGAGTAGAGTTGGGTGTCATCCGCATACATGTGGAAATTTACCCCATGTTTGCAGATGATATCACCAAGGGGGAGGGTGAAGAGGAGGGGACCGAGGACAGAGCCCTGAAGAACACCGCACGAGACGGTGCGGGGGCTGGAGGAGAAGCCGTTTGCCGCGACGAAGTGGAGGTGGTGTGACAGGTAGAACCTGAACCAGTCAAGGACAGGACCTTGAACGTTGAGGTGGGAGGAGAGGCGGTGGAGGAGCTGGGAGGCAACAACTCTCTCAAGGACCTTAGATAGGAAGGGGAGATTTGAGATGGGCCGGTAGCTGGATAGCTATGATGGGTCAAGAGGTTTCTTCAAGGTGGGGGTGATAGTGGCTGTTTTGAGGAGGGAAGGAACAGAGCCAGATGACAGATGATGTCGGCGAGTAGTGAGGCAAGGAGGTGGAGCTGGGATTTAAGGAGTGGGGTGGGATGGGGTCCAAGGAACAGGTGGTAGGCTTTATGGAGGTTAGAGTGTTGAAGACAGAGGAGGGGGTGACAGGTTCAAAGATGTGGAAGATTGGATGAGTAATTGTCGGATGGGTAATTGTGTGGGGTGGGGGTAGGGAGGGGGTGGAAGTTGGGAGGGCAGTGGCAGCTGAGCGGTAAAGTGAATTGAATGTATAGTTGGTGGGCGAAATGCAGCAACCAATTGTGTACAGCAGTGTCCCACAAACAGTCGTGGATTGAGTGGCTAAATTATTATCTTTTTAAATTTTTTAGATTTTTTTGATAGGGATATTTCCACCGGAAAAGCATCTACATAATGCGTAGTAAATGATGCTGATGTCGCTTCCTGCACATCACGCATAGACCATAGATGTTTATGGCACAAAAGAAGGCCATCGTATCTGTGCCTGTTCCCTAAAGAGCAATCCTTTCAGTCCCATTTACCTGCTCTGTCCCCATAACCCAGACTCTTTTTCAGGTGTACTGACTTTGGTACAAACATGCAGGAAGTGATGTCAGCAGGGACCTGACGACTTGGAAGTTGGACATTTTTCAGGTTCTGTTCCAAAGCCTGTGAGATATTTCACCCGAACGACCACATTGTATTGGGGTCACCCTTTTGTCTGATTAAGTGAATTATTTCAATGAACATTATCAGTTTGAAAGGATTTAAGATGCTATAACGGTACAGAACATTGATGAAATGCTCACCGTATCCACATGGTAACTTCACTCAGCCTCTCACAGAGAGGTTCTGATTGAAGATCACTGATGCTTGAAATTACTTATTAAATGCCTCTGAGACATGCTTTTATAGGGGGAAGAGCCCTAGGTTACCCATCCATTCCTCTTAGTGAGAGAGGTAGAATGCTGGGTTATTGGCTTGCTTTTATTCTGTATGTAACAGGTAGATGGAATTGAACACATTCTCTGGTAGAAAGATCAAAGCATACATCTCAGTGCACTTGGCATCCATCAGAAATCTTTCGGAACCAGAGCTTGTCATCTCACACTCTGCACCATTACAGTGCACAGCAAATGCATCCCTCACAACCACAAGAGGCATCTCATTGGGAGAACCACCTTCAGTGTTGTTGATTCAGGGAAGTGATCTGGAACAGTGAAGCACTCCAAAGCCAACATCATCAGGCATTGGTTTATAGTGGTTGGAGGCAGACAATGAGCCACATGATGTTCATGTTGTTTTGTAATGGAATCATTGACTCACTGGGGCTTATATTCAGCGTCCAGTGAATTTAGTCCTTGTTTTGACATTACTGTACTGTATATCTTGCTTAGGAATGGAAAATTCAGCATTGAGGTTTGGCTTGGCTATTATTTTTATTAAATGAGGAAATGTAGTTTTTTTTGCCCCCTGTTAAATGCTGAGCACAACCGATGGCTGATCCAAACTTGGCTCCTGAGTAAAATCATTGAAACTTGTTTTTGTTACTTTAAGATCCTCTTTGTTTAGAAGGCAGTATTTTGAGTTTCTGCTCCAAAGCAACCCTGTTTGGGGAGACACTAGATCATAGAGCAGGGGTGTCTCTAAAGAGGAAAGCTAATAAAAGTGGAGAGAGAGAGATTCTTTCCTGAACCACAGTCAAGCGTGTCTCAGTGTAAGGCCTGGGTCACCCCTTTTTATGGAATCAAAAATGTGCTAGTGGCAACAAGATTCAAAAAGGGTTTGTAAATGTTTACTCCTGTCAGTCACTGGAAGTGTGTTATACCAACCTACCCAAAGAGCCATAATAAAGATCATAATAAAATATTAATAGTACTAAGCCCAACACCAACAGTATTGAGCCCCTAAACCAACAGTGCTGAGCCCCTAAACCAACAGTGCTGAGCCCCTAAACCAACAGCGCTGAGCCCCTATACCAACAGTATTGAGCCCCTATACCAACAGTATTGAGCCCCTACACCAATAGCGCTGAGCCCCTACACCAACAGTATTGAGCCCCTACACCAACAGTATTGAGCCCCTACACCAACAGTATTGAACCCCTACACCAACAGTATTGAGCCCCTACACCAACAGTATTGAGCCCCTACACCAACAGTATTGAGCACCTATAGCAAGAGTGCTGAGCCCCTACACCAACATGCTGAGCCCCTACACCAACAGTGCTGAGCCCCTACACCAACAGTGCTGAGCCCCTACACCAATAGTGCTGAGCCCCTACACCAACAGTGCTGAGCCCCTACACCAACAGTGCTGAGCCCCTACACCAACAGTGCTGAGCCCCTACACCAACAGTATTGAGCCCCTGCACCAACAGTATTGAGCCCCTACTCCAACAGTATTGAACCGCTAAACCAACAGTACTGAGCCCCTACACCAACAGTATTGAGCCCCTATACCAACAGTATTGAGCCCCTAAACCAACATTATTGCAGTATTGAGCCCCTACATCAACAGTGCTGAGCCCCTAAACTAACAGCACTGAGCCCCAACATCAACAGTATTGAGCCCCTACATCAACAGTATTGAGCCCCTACATCAATAGAACTGAGCCCCTACATCAACAGTGCTGAGCCCCTATAGCAACAGTGCTGAGCCCCTATAGCAACAGTGCTGAGCTCCTATAGCAACAGTGCTGAGCCCTATACCAACAGTGCTGAGCCACTACAACAACAACAACAACAACAAGATTCCATTTATTGAGCGCCTTTCACGTCGGGAGAACGTCCCAAGGCGCTGTACAGTTGGGTCAGGACCTGAGCAGAGGGGAAATGGTCAGGGTGAGGGGAAGGAAGGAAGGGAGCGAGGAGGGGGTAGAGAGTCGAGAGGGGAGCTGAAGGCTCGGTCAAAGAGAAAGGTCTTGAGACAGGCCTTGAAGGAGGAAAGGGAGGAGGTGGCGAAGGCACTGGGGGATGGAGTTCCAGAGCTTCGGGGCTGAGAGGCTGAAGGCCCGGCCACCGATAGTAGGGCGGTTGGGGCGGGGGATGTGGAGCAGACCGGAGCCAGAGGAACGGAGGGTACGGGCGGGTAGGTAGGGGGATAGTAGGTTGGAGAGGTAGGAGGGAGCAAGGCCGTGAATGGCCTTGTAGATGAGGATGAGGATCTTGAATTGGATCCTCTGGGGGGTGGGGAGCCAGTGGAGGCGAGCGAGGGTGGGAGTGATGTGGTCCCGAAGCCTGGTGCGGGACAGTACACGAGCTGCAGAGTTCTGAATGACCTGCAGCTTGTGGAGGGAGGTGCCGGGAAGGCCGGCGAGGAGAGAGTTCCCATAGTCCAGCCTTGAGGTGATAAAGGCGTGGACCAGAGTTTCAGCGGCGTGAGGGGTGAGGTAGTGCCGTAGTCTGGCGACATTCCGGAGGTGATGGAAGGCGGTGCCAGTTGTGGCGCGGATATGGGGGAGAAAGGACAGCTCAGGGTTGAACAGAACCCCGAGGTTCCTGAGTGGCTTTGAGAGGTGGAGAGTGCA